CGCGAATCACAACGGGAGGGGGAAGTTTCACGTGAGTAGCGTCTATGGCCTGGCGAATGAGAAAGACGGTTTTGCTCAGAGGAACCCACCCGATAGCAGTAAAACGTGGAAATTTGCTGAGATGTATGAACTTTTTCGTGGCGATCAAGTGAACCCCCCGAATGATCTGCCCATTTCGGACATCAACAGATGCAGCAGCGGTAGAAGCAATGGCAGCGGCAGAAGAGGGGGTCTCACTGCAACGCGACCCCGTCCTTTTAACGACAACTCGAGTAAGTCCCCCTGCTGCTTCATTCAATTTGATAAGAACTACGTAGATTCGAATGCACCATATGCAGATGGAAAGACAGGAAGTGAGGCCAAAATGAAGGGCCCCCCATTTTTGATGAACTATTCTAAGGTGCCTACCTCAGGGAAAGCGGCGCTTTTGGACCAAATGGAGTTTCAACATGCAAATCGAAATGACATCATGACGGGAGACACTCACCCCGATGTAAAAAAGCGTCCATGTGTGGGCACTGACAACAATGTCATTAAAGTTGAGTGCCAGCATATGGAGGGAAAGCAGGGTCAAAGTCATAATCAAAACATGAGTTTAAAGCAACATATCTGCAACCGGGATGACAGTCATAGTAACATTTGTCCACCGCTAGCCAACACATATCGTCTCAGACAAGATTGTCAAGAGAGACAAATTTCGATTCTAAATATGTACGATAAACATGACAGTGGTATGCTCTGCAGCTGCAAAGAACTCATCCCTTTTAACCAAGTGGAGAAGTATGGGAACGCAAATAAATCATGTCATTTGTCCAGCGATACTAATAGGAGTATTAACATCGATCAGGTGAGGGGCGAAACACCTTACCAGGCAAATAACATTCATATGGTTAGTGCATGTGCGGTTAATAAACCAATGAGTTTAAATTTTAATTTATACGGTCCTTTGGGTGAAGTGGATGTGAACACTGGTAGTGTTAGTGGTGAGGCCAGCCACGTCAACAGGCAGTGCGGCAAAGCAGTTCGCATCTCCCAGCCGGGTTGCGCGAGTAGCCAAGTTAGGGGAAATCAGATTTGCGCAAATCGGATTTGCGGAAAGCAAGTTAGTGACAGCCACATCAATACAAACCAGTGGAACCAACTCATCAATATGAGTACTAATTATAACACGAAAGGTGATTGCAAAAGTAGCCTATCAAGGCGCGTCCAAGGGGAAGGTCAGAAAGAAAAGCGTGCAATAGGGGTGCCCAATACGACCCAATACAGACAGGCATTGAGGAGGCCAGCTAGTCAGAACAACACCAGTATGGGCAACTTTAATGGGTGCCCCACGAAGGAAGAACTGGGAATAACCAACAAACACACACAAATGTGTCAACAAACTGGTAAGGGAAAAGGTGTAACGACTCATAACGAGAAGGTAGCGATGGATACACTCTGTCGTAATGCACAGATACAGGGTCGTCAGCAGGAAAGTAGCGTAATAAAGAGTCAGCCGAATATGCGAAATGACGAATTGGCTAGCCCGAAGAAGATATCCATGGGGATGTCGATGGAGAAGTGTGGGAATCACGTCCCGCGTGATACATGCGGTAGTATCAATTCTAAAAAGAGTAGGACACACGAAATGTGTTGGTCGCTTTATGAGGCGCACGGGTCGAATGAAATGAAAAACATGTGCGGTTGGCTCACCTCGCTGACGTCGCACGGATCCTATTTCCCCCACAAGTCGCTCGAACGACAGGTATCCACCGAACTGGAAAAAAAAAAACAAAAAATATTAGATATTTTGTTTTCTTCCAAAGGTGTGCCACATTTCGTGAGTAACAAAACAATTGACAGTGGAAGAACAGCTATGAAAAACGAGATAACACAACTTAGTGCAGCAAGCCAAATGCAAGAAAAAAAAAAAAAAAAAAAAAAAATTCCACCTATCCTTTGAGAAGTACTGCATTACACGAAGAGCAGGATAGGAATAAAAAAAACAGCCTCGAGAAAATTACGATTGACAAGTATAGTAGTAGGGATGAGGAAAAACATCATGAGAGTTTTCCTCTTGATTGTGAAAATTTAGAGGGGGAAAAAAAAATTGAGAATTGCTTCCTCTATGTGAGTAGAGGAGATGGGGAAAAAGTGAGTCATGGGAGGCGCAAAGTCCTCAGCAGTAGCAGTACTAGCACTGTGGGTAGCAGCAATAGTAGTGGGCACCCGGAGGAGGAGCAGCAGAGGGAGCACCAGGAGCTGAAGCCTAGGCATCTACAGGAACGAGGCCCCAGAGGCGTATCAGACGAATGTGCTTACATGAATGGTATTTCCAGCCAAGTGAGTGCGTTCCCTAGGACAGGTACCTCCGTAGAATTACCGAACGATTATGGTACCGTAAGTGAACACTCGAGCCTACCTATGATAGACGTTACATTACAAGGAGAGTTTAACAATAAAAGGAATGTAATGAAAGATGATAAGGGTTACTTAAATTGCGTTTCCAGTGAGTTGTCTGCTTGTGGGGAAGGACCCCCAGATGCAGGAGAAATGTTCCGTTATGGTAACAGTAATAGTAGTGGCTCTGCTATGAACAATAGCAACACGAAGGAAGAAACAAAAATGCGAACACAAAACGACGTTGTTTTGCAGTGTGATCTTAGGGGCGGCTACAGTAACAACGGAAGAGACGTAGGTAATATTAGTACTTACGCCAACAAGGGTGTTTATAATATCGGCTTGCTTACACACGGTGAGAGGTTAATCACCAGCAGCGATGACAACCCTGTTGGGGAAGTGAGTATGTTCAGTGCCTCAAATGTTCCGCAGGAATGTAGCAACTACATTATTATGAACAATCGCTCCGTAAGATGCGTTGATGGTACAAATGTTGTTGTGTGCCCATCTAACACGTCAAACATACAAGGCACGTGCAACGGAAGCAATAAATTAGGGGATGCTATTTGCAACCCTCTGCGTGGAGATGTGAGGGGCAATAATCCCAACAGCAATCATCATAATGCTGTGCTTCACACAAAGGAGGAGAACCTTTCTTCCAAATTTAGTTTCTTCCAAGGTAGCTACGTCTCGCTTACACCCAATTGTGCAATCTCGGAGAGCCGTTCAAGTAACATGGGAAATAGCTCCAAAGGGTACACTGTGAATGGCGTTACCGGTGCTGGGTCCCTGTCTAGAGTGAGGGGTGCCCGGAACGTGTGTGACATGAGTAGAATTAGCAGTATGAACGGAGTTAACGGTGTTAGCAGTATAAAAGGAGTTAACAGTGTTAACAATGTTAACGACATCAGTAGCGTTAACAGCGTCAACGTCGTGAACGGCACTAACGACTTCAGCAGCGTTAACATGGTGAACGCCCACTTTTGCGCCAAAAGGAATCCCCGCAAGGACAAAACCCAGGGATGCGAAACTCAGATTAAAGATCTTATCCCAAACAGTATTCCGAACGAGGTAAAAGAGGGAGAACACATGAGGAGTCTCAACCAATGCGAAAGTGCTATCATGATTAACAAAGGAATGGGTAGAACTGCTACACCTTTTGCCTTCCCCGATAACCCACAACGGCTGATCACCTTTAAGATCTCCAATGCAAGTATCCATTCAGAAGGCGTCAAGTGCACAGACGGAACCGTCATGACTGCCTTCCAAGCGAGTGACGGAAATTTCCAGAGCGATAATCCCATAAAAGACAATGTTGTAAAATTATTTAACGGTCAGGGGGAAAGCATCTGTAAGGTAAACAATGCGGAGGTGAATAGACTAACCAGTTCCTTGATAAATTCAGATGTAAGAAGCAGCAATGTGAATCCATTTTACAAGGAGAATGAACCTACGTGTGAGATGGGGAAAGGACATATGGACAATGTAACTGCCAACAATTTCAGCAATGCAGTTAGTAGTTGCACTGGAAATGATGGAAAAACAAGAGGTACCATAGGGGCTTCAAAGAGGAATAGTGCAAATAGGAGGGTGCAGAAGGGAAGGCGGAGCACTCGCAGCAGGAGGGCTACTTTCAGAGACGCGACGAATAACGCAGCCAGTACCACTGCGACCACAGCCTCGAATGTCACGTCGGACGGCACCACCCCTTCCAATACCTCCAACCACGTGCCGAAAAAGAACAAGGCAGAAGAGCACGAACGGGAGGAGGAACTGCACGAGAAGCTGAAGGATCTGCCCAAAATCACAGGTGTGAGTTATGATAAAAAACAGAAACTGTGGGTGTCCCACTGGAGGTCAAATTGTAAAACAATACACAAATATTTCTCTGTAAAAAAGTACGGCTTTCATAATGCCAGGTTGCTAGCCATTACGTGTCGAAAGCAAAACACGAAGTATATCTCCACCGATCTGAGGTTTGGTTACAAGGCGGGTAGACAGTCCAGGGCCCAACCTGGGAGCCAATTCAAAACGAGTGAAAATTGTCCCGACGAGAACCATGCTTCTGGCGAAGTTATACAGCTTACGGGAATAGTGTGTGATAAGAAACCCAGTGGGAGAAGCCATTCGATCAGAAAGATACCCAAGGGGAGAAGAAAGCATTGCCAAGGGGTGGATGTCACTCTGGAGCTCCCCAAAAATGAGAGCGCAGAATCAGACACACACGGAGTTGGTTCCCAGAAAGGCGATCCAAGTAACGGCCAGCTAGATGGGGCTAATCCGATTAATGTTTCCCAAAACATCCGTCACCAGAGTAGTCCCCCCCTTAGCAGTGGCCATCCCAGTATTACCTCACAGAACAGCGCGGAATTGCGGAACCGAGGGTGTTCCCTTCCAGAGCAGAGTGATCAGGGCGAAATTTATCCACAGAAAGTGGAGGGCTCCAAGGATCAAGAACAAATGCTAAAGGAAAACGAACTGGTCGCCAAATGCACACTTAAGGGTGAAGCAAGCGATGCGTATAGTAATAGCGGTAAAATGAGCGTGCCCCATTTTTTGAAGCAGCAGGGGGGGTGTCAAGCAAGGAGGGGTTCTGGCGATAGCGTTAGCGGAAATGTGAACAGCATCTCGAATGGTTATTTGAACGGCAATCTGAACAGTAGTCTAAACGGTAGTCTGAACGGTAGTCTAAAAGGCATTGCAAACGGTATTCCCAATTCACGTAGGAGTGCACAAAATCTGCAGGAGGAGGAAGAGTGCCAAAGCGTAATCACCGACAAAACGAGCCAGCAAAGCAAGAACAGTGCGATGCACACAGAACACGGGAAGAACGAAAAGGTGGAGCAACCCAATGGGAAGAAAGACTACCTAATAAACGCACAGCTTTACAATAAACTGATGAACAATGAATTGTATAATAAGCTCATTAACAATCAGCTGAGCAACGAAAGAGTAAAAAACAACAACTTTTACTGTAGCCTAATTAATAGCAAATTTTACATACACGTGGTTAACAACAAGCTTCATGCACAGCTAGAGAGAAACCAACGAGAAGTGACCAAAGAAGGTTCGAATTACTTCTACTACGGGCAGTTTAAGAATGCTGCCTCTTCGAGGAGAAACTCATTTTCGAACAGTGAAAATTTTGCCAGCAAGAAACTTGCGCAAGATCAGAACGCCCACAATTTGTTCCTACGGAGCAGCAGTGGTGATGGTACTACTAGTGTGGGTACGCATAAGACGAGTCCTCCTTTTACCAACGCGGGAATTACGTACGGAGAGAAAATAATAACCCCCGGTCAATATGCGAATAATAGTACTAGCCCTTACTCGAAAAATGATGAACCCCCAATTGATGGCAAGAATAATGGTTTCCTCAGTGATTCCCCTGGATTGGCTGCGGAAACTTCCATGGGGCAGAACTACGTTAGGGTCAAAGACAATAATAATTTACTCAGTTGTGAGGGGTTCCAAAATGGTAGTGGTTCAAACAGCAGCAATTGCGATAACATTTGTTCTGGTGGCCACGTAAGGGAGGAGGCATCCTATTTTAAGGGGAGCGCCCAGGTGAGCGAAAATAATTTCTGTCTCGAGGGGGCATCTACGATCGAGAGCGGTAAGAAATTCCTGAGCGGTGGCACTATCCAGTTTCGCACAACGATTAGTAACAATCAAGGCAGCGGAATGGACGTGAGCACTGTCGTGCGTAATAACCTCAAAGTGAAGGATGCTATGAATCCATATATAAACAGGGAAGGGCCCATCGGTGATGATGGGAATAACACTAAGGGCGGCGTGATTGGAAGATACGTGAATGGCAGAGGCGTGAATGGCAGAGGCGTGGATGGCAGCGGTGTGGATGGCAGCGGTGTGAATGGCAACGGTGTGAATGGCAGCGGTGTGAATGGCAGCGGTGTGAATGGAAGCGGTTTGAATGGCAACGGTGTGAATGGCAGCGGTGTGAATGGCAGATGCGTGGATGACGGTGGAGTGGATGACGGTGGAGTGGATGACAGTGGAGTGGATGACAGTGGAGTGGATGACGGTGGCGTCTTACTCAACCGCATGGCCGCGCAGGGTAGGCACTTCTTCCTGGCGAGCACTGACGGCAGCAATAGCAATAGTAGTAACCACGGCAGCAACCACGAAAGCAACAACAGAAATATCCGCCGCAGTGACGACCGAGATGCGTTAGACGAAAAATGCACTTCCATCAGCAACGACCCTCTGAAGGACACTGGTCAGTTTGGGTGCAGTGGCAATTTCGAATGTAACAATCAGTACGCAGCCGAGTTTTATGCGGACGGTAAGTACCATCATAGAAGCGACGTAGATATGAAAAGGGCAATTGTGCAAGGAGGTTATTTGTTAAGTGATCGGATGGGCGATGAAATCTTGAATGAGGGACATTCGAAGGTGGGTGAAACCAAGGGAGGGCGCTGCTCCCATGGGGGAAGTCCCCTAGGAGACCCAAACACAACCAACCCTGTGAACCAAATGGACGAAGAAAAAAACAAACTGATGATTTCGAAGATCACAACAAAATATATACTGACCGATATCAAGAATAAATGCCTAAGAAACTGCTCTAGCAATTTTTTAAAAAATTTTCCAGACATAAAAAATGTCATTAACAAGCACATCAACAAAATTTCCGAGGCGAATTCTATCTACACAATAAGGCCGTATATTCAGCTGTTTAGTAACCTGCTGGAGAAGAGGAAGCTGCTACACATGCTGGCCCCGAATGCGCAAGAGTTGTACATTTACAGCTTGCAGAAATTGCCCCTTTGATTCACCCGCATGGGGCTGCGAGGGAGTTGCCCTTGATTTTGTTGCGCTTCGGTCGTGTAGCGTTCTGTCATGTAGCGTTCTGTCGTGTAGCGTTCTGTCGTGTAGCGTTCTGTCGTGTAGCATTCTGTCGTGTAGCATTCTGTCGTGTAGCATTCTGTCGTGCAGCTTTCGGGTGCATCGCTTTTCGCCCGCGATGCATTCCTTTCTTTTAGTTTTTTGCTTTTTTTTTTTTTTTTACCGTGCAGTGGCCCGTGCGGACACCATTTGGCGTCCATCCTTTCCGTCACCACACATGCCTGCGACTATGTGTATGTGCGGATGGGGACATGTACTACCTACGTACGCCCATTTGTGCATGTGTGTAATGTGTTCATGGCGGTTCCATGGATGCGCGCGGAAGGTCACATGGATATTTGTACAGTGCCAACGTCGCGCGCGACTTCGTGCGTAGGCGGTCGCCCATAAATGTCCATATGTGTTTGTACGTTTTGGCATATGTATATACGTACGTATGTGTGTACTAGTACGGCGATTGAGCCGGCTCATCTGTTTGCGTACCATTCACCTGGTAACATACGTATATGCATCTTCATTTTTTCACGTGAGGATTTTCCCCCTGTAGAAAATCTTTTTTTAAAACCCACCGCGAGGGATACACTTGTTTTATGTGTGCAGTTATAAGTGTTGCATTTTTTTTTTTCCCATCATCTCCCCCTTTGTTAAATAACTAGCAAATGACCTTTGCAGAGATGCATAATTAAAAATATTGTTTTAATACGAATTGGGGTTGAGAAAAAGAAGCCAATACGAAAGGGGAAGACGAAACAAGGATGACAAAACGTGGTGTGTAAAAAGGGAAAAATATCTATTTGAAGAAAAAGCGTAAGTGTTCGCCTTCAAATGGTATGCGCCGCTTGTCAAATGATGGTTGTCGAGTCTGTGAGCAGGGAACTCTCCAGGCCTATTCGCGTGGGGGGTAAATAGTTCACCTCGCCTTCTCGAAGTGACCCAAAAGGTATGCAGAAATAGATAAATAGATATATGAACAAATCCATATGTGCACAAATACATATATGAACAAATACATATGTGTACAATGCGCGGGGAGTATAGGGGCAAATGTTAGAGAGTCTTTTTCTCAAGTTTCCACTTCAAAGGCTTAAATAAAAACACCGGACACACCAAGTCGTGCGTGTGCTGAATTATTTTATACTCCTCTATTACAATTTTGTGCTTGTAAAGGGAACAATCCAAAGTGCACGTTTCATATTCTCCACCTTCGCCACATATGCTCAATCCGTGTTTGTCACTCATCATTTCGAGATAGCTGTACATTTCTTTTATCGATTTTCCCACGTGTTCCTTTCCTAAGCCTGGTCCGTTTGGGGGGCGCGGGAGGGGTGCAGTGGGAAAAAGAAAAAAGAAAAAAAAAAAAGAAAACGGGTGTGAAAACATGTGCGCAAGTAAAAATAAAAATGTGTCAGCGGCAGTGGCGTAAGTGCACAGGCGAAAACATTGCAGTGTCAGCGCCGGTGCCGGTAGCGTAGATGTACGAACGAGGCGTCAAAACGGGAAAAATGCGGCGGCGAACTAATGTACAAGGTAAAATAATTTCGAGAGCGATTAGCGTGTTTAAATGGCTCTCCGCATTTTTCTCTCATTAGTTTTTTTTTCATTTGTTTTTTTTTTTTGCATTTTGTTATTTTTTTTTCGTTTTCATCCTGTTTTTCTCTTTCTATTTCCCATTTTACTTAGCTCTTTTAGCGCTCTCCCTCATGATATTCGGGCAGATGAGACATAGCAGGTACCGTATGCGCATGCAAAATAATTTTATTGTTTTTTCCCCTCATTAGACATTACCGTAAGAAGCTATTTTCACGAGTATTGCCTCCAGTCCGCCCTCAATCATATTTTGTAGCAGTTCTTTCTGCAGCGAGAGAAAAAATAAAGCAAAGTAAAGCAAAACAAAATGAATGAGACTATATAGGAAGGGGACAATTTCACGCAGGTGTACGCACAGTGCTGCGCCCACCCTTCCCACTCGATAAAATTCCTTTGTACCTGATCCCTTTCCCACAAGTATGCCAAAATTTGCAAATTTAACCTTTGACATCTTCGCGGTGGCAAAGAGAAAAAAATGAGGGAGAAATGAGGAAGAAATGAGTAAAAAATGGGGAAAAAATTCGAATAAAATGCACAGCTCATGCACGTGAGGTGGAGAAAAAATTGTCGCAAGAGTGTCCAGAAAAAAATATGGATGAAGGCTCTCAACGAGCGCTGTAAAAATGTAATCGATTTCCATTACACGTGCTCCAGGCGCCTTTTCTGATAATTTGACTGAATCGCCCCGCATGATACTGCATTTACGTGAGGGTACTTAGTCTACAAAAACAGAAAAAAAAAAGAAAGAGGAATAACAATCCGCATAGGTGTACAAAACTGTGCTCATGATTATGTGTATGCAAACGGATACAGGAGGACAGCGACTGAGCAGCGCTTCCCATGCGTATGTGCCGCGCACACGAAAGCGCTACCATACATACGATGCAGGAGTTTCATCCACCCCCGCCCCCGTACCTTAACCTCGAGTAGCAACTCATACAAATCTTCAACCTCGTCATTAGAATTGTACACATAATCCAAGCCCACATTTACTGCCTTCCCTAATAGAACAGATGTCAAGCGTATATATTTACAGTGGCATTTTATAATTTTTTTGCAATATTCGAAATTGCATAATGTCGCAAATTTCAAGTTTTTTTTTTTTTTTTTTTTTCTCTTTTGTTAATTTTTTTTCACAAAATTGTGAGGAAGGTATGGATTTTTTAAATTATGCGAAATAAGCCAAAATGAATGCAAAGGGAGATCATGTCAATGAATTCGTCATCGTCATGGTTAAGGTAAAGGTTGTACGAAGAGTTGCATATTTAGTTTTTATTCGTTTTTATTTCGTTTTTCCCGTGCGCGTTTCCGTGCGTACCTTTAATTCGATGCTGAATGAGGGGCTTCTCCATACACTTTGCAATTTCAGGAATGAGTTCAAATCCAACGCTCTGGTACATAAAACTGTCAGTCTCATCTACGAAAGGTTACGTTAGACGAACGAAAAAAGGAAAGTCACAGAAAATGTATTTATATAATTCATGTACGTGTAAGTGTAGCGATGTTATGAAAAAGCCCATTATTCGTAAGCGAATGTTTAAACACATTTTGTTCTATGTAAATAAAAAAAAAAGAGTAAAAAACACATGGCGCCTTTTTCTGGACACCTCTTTATGGTGCCTGCTCCCTGTTTGCAAACAGTAAGGTGATTCGCTCATTCGTATCTCCCTATGCCAAGTGGCGTTCACATGTGTTAGTATATGCGAGGACAAGCGCTCACAGATGGAGGGCCTACACACAGGCCCAATCACGTACACCAAATGGACAATCGTGCATATCCATACATATGTGCGAGGAACAGATGCCCCCGAAAATAAAGGTGTGCATTTGTGTGTGCAACATCCATCCACATGTAGGCAAACATTTGTACGTGAGAACGGAGTAGCAGCAACGACGCACGTATCTACGCGCGCACGGCACTGTGGTTACTTTGATTCTCATATGGTATAAGGTGAGCCAATAAGATAATGTTATGACCATATTTGGAGCAGTAAATCAAATTCTGTATGCTGTCCTTTCCCCCCGATATTAAACCAACGATGTTCAATTTTGTACTTCTTTTCTCGCCGTCCATTTCCCGTTCGAAAAAAAAAAATGAAACAGCATGGGAAAATAAAAACGGAAAAATAAAATAAGGTAAAAATTACATAAATGAAATCACATAGTCGGAGTGTCCTCAAAATTTCGAATTAAATTTGTAGATCAGAACTGCAGAATAAATATACATATATATGTTTGAATGTACCATTTTGCAAATGCGCATTTTTGCGAAGTATTCATTACACCATTTTGTTTAATTTTTTCCTTTTTTTGTTCTGTGCCAATTTTTGGATGAATAAAAAAGGGAATGTATTTTTCTCTTTCTTTTTTATATTCTGGAAGAATACGCGTTTTCCCGCTGTTGTTGAATTTTTTTTTTTAATTTTTTTTTCCCACGGTTTCGCCGCTCTTCATTTGTAGAGAAATTTTTTTCGTTATTTTATTTTGTATCCTTCTCATTTTTCACACAGGCAAATGCGCGATACATATGCCAAAATGTATTCATGTTTTATTTAATTCTTTTTTCTGTTTTCTTCGTTGCATTAAAGCGTATTCTTTTCTCACGTTTGTATATTTCTTTTGCTCTTTTTTTTTAGAATTGTTCATTTTTTCTGTTATGTGCATTTTTTCCTCTTTGTGTCTCTTTTTTTTCCCATTGTTTTATATTTTCACAGGGATGGAGCATGCGCGTATATACAACGTCCGCGACTGTGTGCCTACGCCGTATTCCCACATCGTATGCCCCCGTTGTATGCCTACGTATGCACACGGGGGAGTGCACTTCTGTGAATGCACTCCTATAAGGGAGGTCAAATAAGCGAGCGCTGTGCATTCATAATTAGAGGTATCCCTGCGCTTTCTTTGGCATCGAAAATGTATGGTAGTGTTTCTTTGTCATGGAAAATATATGCGGGTACCTCTTTGGCGTTGAAAATGTATGTGGGCGCTTCTTTCACGTCGGAAATGTATGCGCGCGCTACTTTAACGGTGTAGGTATGCGCACACTTCTTTTGCTATGCATGTACACCTGTGCATCTGTCTGCCGACGATTCCAGGCCTGCGCTTCTGTGCGTTAATAGGTATTCCTATTCATTTATGCCCCCACAGGCAAGATATTATGTATGCCCCTGAAAAAAGCGAATTTGGACATATGCCCCCGAATTATTGCAAAGTAGTATGAGTCTGCTGCGCATACCAATGAACATGCTTCTGCAACCCATGCTTACTAATGGGTACCCCCGAATACTTCTTAAGTGATGTGCAGCTCGGAACATACACCGATCCAAGGTTCCATTCTC